GTACATACCTAACCCTAAACCTAACCATTACCAGTACATACCTAACCTTAAACCTAACCATTACCAGTACATACCTAACCATAAACCTAACCATTACCAGTACATACCTAACCCTAAACGTAACAAACAATTCGATTCAGTTTATCTATACAGCACCAAGTCACAACAGACGTCATCTCAGGGCACTGAACAGAAACGTTCACGTTATAAATGCGTTAGTAAAGTTATTTATCTAAGGAAGGAAGCCAGCAGATGAGTTGAGTCTTCATTTTATTGCAGTCTCCCATCCTGAGCAAGCACAAAGGAGACAAACACCTGACTGAACATTGTTAGATTTTCTAGTCGGATTATTGAGCATGAACTTTAATGTTTTGAACAACTTTGGCTATGGCTGCCTCAGGAGTTGGGGGAGAGGGCAGGCCCCAGAAACCATCTTATCACCAGCAAACTGGTTGGTCCACTATGTGAGTGTGCTGCTTATGGGACTGAGTTTGCTGTAGCTCCTCGGATTGATGAAGTCCTTTGGATGAAGGACGAAACGTCTCAACAACAACAAAAAAGAAACCATCCGGATGACATGACTGAACTTTGTTGGATTTATACCTGAATTATTGAGCATGAACTTTGACACAAAGGCAAGAGTGGAAAGGAAAAACTCCCTTTTAACAGGAAGAAACCTCCAGCAGAATCAGGCTCAGGACAAGCAAACATCTGCTTCGACCAGCTGGGTTTGAGAGAACAGGAAGGAGAAATGGACACAGAATGGCAGGTCCAGAATGGAGGCGAGCCTCCATTCAGACCTTAGTCCTAGTCCTAACCCACCAATGACACTTCTTCTTATGGGGCCTGGGCTTTGGACCCCATATGGAGCAGATGATCCTTACAATGTCGTAGGCTCACCTTTGATGGCAGCGGGTGATAATCAATCCACTTGAACGTTTGTAGAATATGGTACTTCACTTTGTTGGTACGTTGGTGTGGAAAAGTAATCAGCCCCTCACAAATGCCTTCAAATTTTAATTTCTTGTCACGTTTTAAGGTTTTAGACGATGAAAAAACGTTAATTAAAGAAAGATAATTAGAGTTACTTAGTATTATTACTTTTTCAATTGTTGGTTTGAACTGATTTTTGTATGAAAATAAATCATCTTTTGAAAACTGCATTTTCTTTTAACTCAGGTTATCTTTGTCTGATTAACATTTGTTTGATGATCTAAAAGATTTTTGTGACAAAAAGCAAACAAAAAATCAGAACACCAATAATTTTTCACAGCACTGCATATGAAAATAAGACTTGCTCCTTTTTTCACAGAGCAGATTACTCATGTGAAGAAGGGTGAATTGTGTGCACGTTGACAGAGGATTACACGTGCTGTTTCCATAACCTTTAACCACTGTGTTCTGGCTCAGGCCTGTCTGAATACTGACGCTTGGTCAGAGACGTTAAGGTGAGGCTGGAAGAGTTCCAGAAGAACTTTGTCTTGTTGCAGCAGCGGAATGACCCCAAGTCGGGTTCTGGTAAAAATGGTTCTTAAACAGAAAAAATCTGCAGGTCATGGAAACAATGCAGCGCAGACGCAGCACTGGTGGTGATAGAAGTGTACTGGCATGGTGTGTTATTTTCTTTTTTAGCACTGCGTTTCCCCAACTGTGGTACAAGTACTGCTGTGGGTACTCAGGATGCCTTTAGAAGAAGTGGTGGCGCAGAGGTTAGAGAGGGTGGGCCTGTGACTGGAAGGACGCCAGTTCAACTCCCCAGACCGACAACATCAAAATGTGGGTGTGAAAGGTGAAACACCCACACCTGACTCCACCCTCATTTTCCCCACTCTGGGCCCTTGAGCAAGGCCCTTGAGCAAGGCCCTTAACCCCCACCATCTGCTCCCCCAGGTGCCCTACATGGCAGCTCTCTGCTCCACACAGAGGGCTGTGGTAGCTCGGTGGTCTGTGGTCGCGTCAGGAAGGACATCCAGCGTAAAACTGCCAAGTCTTCAAGTGAGTTAGTTTGCTGTGGAGTGGCTGAGTGGTTGGGGCAGCTGTGGCTGAATAGTTAGAGCAGTCGTCCTCCAATGCAAGAGTTGGGGGTTCAAATCCACCAGCAGTCACATGCCGAAGTGTCCCTGGGCAAGACACTGAACCCCTCATAGCCTCTGATGTGTGTCCCATCAGTGTAT